CCAATCAAAACCAAGCAAACCCGACCAAACCAAACCCAATTAAACCCAACCTAACCCAATCAAAACCAAGCAAACCCGACCAAACCAAACCCAATTAAACCCAACCTAACCCAATCAAAACCAAGCAAACCCGACCAAACCAAACCCAATCAAAACCAAACAAACCAAAACCAGCCAAACTCAACCAAACCCAACAAGACCCAACCAAACCCAACCGAAATCAACCAAACCCAACCAAAATCAACCAAACCCAACCAAAATCAACCAAACACAACCAAACCAACCAAACTCAACTAAAACCAACCAAACCCACCCAAATTTTAACAACCCAACCAAATCCAACTAACCCCAACCAAAATTAACCAAGCCCAATTAAACCCATCTAAACACAACCAAATTCAACCACATTCAACCAAGCTCAACCAAACCTATCCAAACCCAACCAAACCAAACCCAATCAAAACCAACTAAACCAAACCAAAACCAACCAAACTCGACCAAACTCAACCAAACCCAACCAGACCCAACCAAACCCAACCGAAATCAACCAAACCCCACCGAACTCAACCAAACCCCACCGAACTCAACCAAACCCAACCAAAATAAACCAAAATCAGCCAAACCCAACCAAACTAAGCCAAACCCAACCAAACCTAAGCAAACACAACCTTCACATGAAGCTTTGGCAGCACGGTGAAAACCAGGATCCTCATCTGCCCTGATCCAATCAGTTTTCTTTGCTTTTCCAGCAGCTGCAGTGATCAATAAACTGTCCACATCAATAAAACCGGGCGGCGCCAACACCCAGCTGATCTGCTAGTTCCTGACTGGGACAACTTCTCTTATCAATACTTTCTATGAGAGTTCCAGCTGAAGCAAATGGTAGCATTTCTGTGTTTCTCTGTCTGAGGGTGTAGCTCAAACTCTGTTTTATTTTAGAAAGAGACAAAAATAGAAKATTCCCCATCTTTGGATCCTGGAAAATTCTCTTTTATTTTTAATGCAAAACAGTCATGTCCAGAAGTTCAAACTTTCTGAACTTGTAGTTTTGAGGAAATCTGTTGCCTAAAACCTGAAACCGATTGTTGCTTTTGCACAAGCAACACAAAGAGTGAAGTCGAGGGTCTTCAACCCGAGGAGAGCGACGGCACTGAAGTGCTGGAAGCCCTGGATGAGCAGCGTATCTGTCTGTAGAGAGGTGGACAGGAGAAGACCCCCGCTGTGGAGATGACAGACATGGCAGGACTGGAGGACCGAGGACACGGGTCCTCTGAGAAGATGCTGACGGACAACCAGGGAGCGGACCGCCGCTGCAGCGTCCAGAGATGGGCTGGGGCCACGCTGCAGCACCAGGGCTCAATCTCAAACGTGGACGGCTTTGAGGACTTTGAAGAGTTTGTTTTGGATTTTGATGATTATGATTTGCTTGAATCAATCCACAGCCAGCTGGGCTCACCGCTCGAACCCATACGTAAGTTAGGCTTGGATGTTCTGGTTCCTCTTCTGCAGATTCACTTTAACTTAGTCTCAAATGAAATTATGGTTTTGCCAAAAATGAAAGGATAGTTAAGCTAGTGTGACTTTAAAGAGTTCATATTGCTCACTGTGTTTCAGGTTAAAGTTTTGAAATACAAATCTATTAGTAGGGATGTTTGATATCACAGAGTTCTTATCCAATTCTGATACCAAGTAAAACTCAGGCTGGTATCGGCAATACTGATACTTTGTCAAATACAGTACATTGATGTGTCTGGTAAAGCTAAAAAAAGTAGTGTATTTCAAATTGCCACTTCATTAATAATACAAGACATCAAAGTAATTTATTTATTCATTTTAAACTGACGTAGCATCTTCATTTACGATATAGCCGGGTCAATACAACAAGTAAACCAAAGACACRATCTCACAAAATGAAGTTGGTTCCACAAGTGTGGAGCTTGATAACTGAAAGCTCTGCCTCCTGTTCTACTTTTAGAAACTTGAGGAACCACAAGTAAACCTGCAGTCTGAGTTTAACTAAATTCCAACTGGTTCTTGAGATATTTTGCTTAAAAACAAGCAAACAAACCGGTTACATTGTCACCCGTTTTTCTTTTTAGTGGTGACACAATAAAATGGCAGATTTCATCTTATAGAGGCCACTTAACMCTGGCACATGAAGGGTTCAGAAAAAGGCTGTTGTTGTAGGCAGAAGGAAATCTTGCAACATCTTTTTTCATATTAAAGTGTCCTCAAAAATCTGAGGTGTCCGTGGTTCTCTACAACCTCTGCCTCTTTCCTAACAACAGAAATAGTGTTTGGTTTAGTCCTGATCTTCAACAAAGGGGTCCACTGGTTTCACCACAGACACAAACCCCCCTACAAGAGGTTTACTTGAATGTTTCTGGAGATAACAGACCTAATCTAAACTAGAGACTCCAGTTAAATCAGCTAATAAAACTAATAAATTCCTTCAGATGGATGGATCTCAAAGATAAGATCTTTAAAATGATAACATCTCAGKACTAAAGTTCAACGTTCACAGAAGTAGAGTCACGATGTTTGTCAATGAAATGTGTTTCCGCTCCGGCTGCAGCTGACCCCGGAGCTGAAATGACAATGTGCCACTGGATCAATGGAAAAGTGGGAAACGGCATCAACGGAGTTCCACGTCAATTCATTCAATAGTGTCTKTGTGTGTGTGTTGGTGGTAGTGTGTGTGTGTGGTGGTAGTGTGTGTGGAGTGGGGGCATTGCTCTGTGTGAGTTTTTATTTTCAGCCGAGCCACTGAATGGAAACAAGTGACTTCCTGTCTATTGAGCGCTTGTGTAAAAATAGGAAACACAAATCTTGTCGATCTAAATTTCCCAGCGCGTTTGGAAGCATGACGTAGTTGTTACTCTAAATAACGGGTGTATCAAACATCAGCTGAGGGATTTCACAGAATATTTTTAATACTAGGGGCTGCACGGTGATGCAACTGGCTAGCAGTCGTGACAAGATGGTCACAAGTTTGATTCCTGGCTGGTACTTTAGATTCATCCCGCAGTCCAAAAACATGCAGTTTAAAGCACCACATTTGTCTTAGTTTCCTTTTTTAGGCTTGACTTTTATAATCTATGGTTTGACTGTTGTAATGTCCTGATTAAAACAGTTTTAGGCACAGGCCCGAAACACCTTGACAACATATAATAAACGGTTAATAAAAACATTAGATGAGCATTGCTGTTCAGAGTGTCTGCGATTCAGCCGTAGGCCTGTAGGGGGCGTACCAGGCACTGAAGATCCCTGTGTATTATAGACCGGAACTTCAGTTTCAGGCAGCGTTGCTCTGGTTGCTTCAGCCTAGGCTTGCTCATTAACCAGATATGGGTTGTATGGTCCTCTTCTACTCACATTTAATCTATTCAACATTTATTTGTTTTYGTCTCGATTCCAGTTTAACAAACACTATATTTTCTTACACGTCCATCCAAAAACCACCTGTTTATCTTGTGCAATAGTGTCTATCTTGACTCTGTTCAAATAAAATGCATTGTTGTTATTATTGAGTTGGATTGACTTAAATCTCAAGTTTTACAGCAAACATCTTCCATGATCTCTCATTGCTCAGAGTATGAGTTAGAGATGACTCTCAGCTACTACAAAACCAAACATAAAGTCAAAATCTGTCAAATTAATTGCGTTGGACGCATTTCTGTGTTTGCAAACGACATCTGTGGCAGCCACGTTGAATTGGGTTGACAAAAAGTTCATCATTTGTACTTTCTGAGCGTTTCAGTAAAAGCATCGTCGCCCACCTTTTTCCATTTTCCAGCGGGTATTTATACCTTTTCTCCAGGTTCAGGCAGACATTGAACTTGAAAATCCTGCGTCTCCACAGGTCACAGGTTTGAGGACAACCCGGGCGTTCGGCGCCACCTCGTTAAGAAGTCATCCCGATGCCAGATGTCGCGGACCAGCATCACCTCCACACCTCTGACCAGCTTAAAGAAGAAGAAGAGGGCGGCAGATAAGAAAACCCACGAGGTCTGAGCAGATTATCGGCGCTGCTGTTCGAGAGTTAGGATTATATCCTGTAAGAGTCRCAGAAACAAACTCTTGCTGTTTTGTCTTCAGTTGTTCGTCGAGCTGAACGAGCTGATCGTGGAGAAGGACCAGGAAATGCGCTGGAAGGAGCGAGCTCGTTGGATCAAGTTTGAGGAGGACGTGGAGGAGGAGACGGACCGTTGGGGCAAACCTCACGTGGCTTCGCTGTCTTTCCGCAGCTTGCTGGAGCTTCGCCGCACCATCACACACGGTAAAACGCTACAGTATTGTGAAATATTTAGGTCCGCAATTAGCGGGTTTGCGCTTTAGCGGGCTGGTGCCCACCACTTGTTTTTGAACATTGGCTTTGGAAGATTTTCACCAAACACGGACCATATTTGTTCCTGGTTCTGTTTTCCCTCTCCCCTCCAGGTGCCATCCTTCTGGACCTGGATCAGAACTCTCTCCCTGGCATCGCTCATCTTGTCGTGGAGACGATGATCATCTCTGATCAGATCAGAGCCGAGGACAGGCCGAGCGTTCTCCGGGCTCTGCTTCTCAAACACAGGTCAGTGAACACACCAAGTGTTGAGAATAGGTGGAGAGAATCCAAACATTTTGCACCATTTATAGAGACGAACTCGTGAGAACTGAGCCGGGATTTTCCAGACGTGTCTTGGCTCCTCAGCCGGTGTAATTCCCCCGGTTTGACCGACCTGTAGGGACTGTGCTGTAATCACACCAAGCCATTATTTCTTCACCAGTTTCTATCTTTGATCTGGATGTTTTTGTTTTGTTTTAGAAACACAACTGATTTATGATTTAAATGTGAGCGCAACAGTTTGGAAAAGACTGAAAATATTCTGTGGCTTAACACCAGAGTAGAAAGTTCACTTCATAAATCAAGATTTGAGTCATTTTAATGTTTTTCAAAGCAGAAAATCTCAAACAAAATGCTGTTTTTTTCCTGTTTTCAGTGTTTCCATCAGAGCCGCTGCAGCTGTTGGAAACTATTGTTCTGTTTTAACCAACAGGAAGTGCACATATTTCACACCACGGATGGTCTTCATTGGTGTCATAATCCCAGATTACCAAATTAGAATTTGAGCTGCTTTTTTATTTCCAGAATAGTTTTCAATACATATATCCTGAGGTGACGCTTCAGCTCAAACTGTAGTTTCCTCCAATGGCCTCAACGTATCGATCGGTGTTTCAAAGAACAAGTCTAAAATGGACTGACTATTGGATTAGTGAGTCCCACATAGTGATTTTTCTTACATAACACAACAAAGTTAGCTAAATGGCAGCTRTCTGACTGAATTACCTAAACACAAGTGAAGAACCAGAACGAGTTGATCTGACTTTATATTTAATGAAAACGTTTCCTAAATGAAATCTGCTGACTTTACTGCAAAACGGCTTTTACCACTTCAGTAAAGTAACTTTTTTATTTTTTAAGGTGAAATTTTAAAAGCACTGTGGTGGAAAGCTGTAGTTTAAGGATGTAGGAGCAAAAACACTGAAACATTTTTAAAAACATTTGGTTTCTTCTGATTCTTTTGTGATTTTTTAAATTGCACTTTCTCCTGCAGCTTTAAAAAACACCAAAACATGCAGCCCTTTGGTAGCTTTAGCAAAAAAATAATAAATAAAATAACAATATTTGCTTATAGAC